GTCTAGTGGATCAATATGAATAAATACGGTCTGAGAGACAGAACCTACACTAACAGAACAAATCTCATATAGGCTATATCCAAAGCGATAATCTAGTCTAATAATGATGATGATGATAAGGCTAAATTTCATAGCCCCTACATTCCCTTCCTACAAAAAAAAAAAAAATGCTCGTAAGATCTTTTTATCTCCTAAGACTCCAAGATCAATCCTCAGCACCCACATGGTCATTTCCATATGGCTTTGTCTGTCTCCTGACTTGACCTACTTTCCCGGCCAACTCTGATCTTTCTTACTCCTCTTTGTTCTCTGGTACTCCCAATCTGTCATCAGCAAAATCCACAGGTAAACATTTGATGTAAATGCTCTCTTGACCATCTTGCTGTATCTGAAACCTGAATTCCTTTGAGGACACTGCTTCTCGTATAGTCACCTCATGGGCTTGCTGTTTTCTCTCTCAAACCTCCATGCCACAAGGCCAGCAGTTGCAGTAGTTGTCTTTCTTGTGCTTAATGCTCCCTCCAAATCATTGTTCTTCTCATATCAATAGAAACTTCTAGCAATTTGAAAGTAATCTCTGACATCATAGTACCCAATACCCCTCCCTGCTGTGGTCACCTAACGATATCCATCCATGGGGCATTTCTTGAAGAGTTTAGCTTGTGGCTCCCTCTGTCCCTTCATCACCAGTGTTTTCACAGTTCCTGTGATTTTCATATCCCTGTAGAAAATCCTTCCCCTATTTCAGCCTTTATGTCTCATGATCATCACCTCACCTCCAGTAACCTTGATCCTTCTGCCACTCACTCCCCAGTCATACCTGCAACAACCCTTCCACCTTCTCACCGTCAGCTGATAGCCTCGTTTCCCATTTCATGAAAAACAGAAGCAGTAAGAGAATGTCCTCATTCTCCATCCAGTGATCTACCCATCTAACTGCATGTTTACTGTGTACTCCACCTTCCCCACTATTCCTTCAGATGAATATGCTTCCATCTAAGCTCAACACTTCCACTTGTCAACTAGTGCTCAATCTGGCTCACACAATAAAGGACATCACTCTTGCAGTTGGCTGCTATCACTGTCTGAATAAACCAACAGTCCAGAACCATCTGGATACAATCAACTTCCAATTTCCTCTATGAGGATTACATACTTTATGCACTCTTCCTCTTCATTCAGTCTACCTCCTATCCCATCATCTCCACTCCCCTTTGGCCTGCTAACATGAAACACTTTTAGTGTTTCTTGATCAGGGGTAAATTGTACCTGTAGATGTCTATCTGGCGGCAAGCTGCACCTAAATGCCCACCCCAAAAGGCTACATAAAGCAGCAGAGCACAGATTCTTTGGTGAGATCATAATTCAACCCCATTAATAAAGCAAGCACTTACTGATTATCTGACCTTAGACTCTGTACCTCACCCACCTCTGTGCATCTCAGGTACCTTCATGCTTGCTTGGCTTTAGCCAACTGCTCTGACTTGACACATTGCTGCTGTTTATTCTCAGTTGTACCTCTGGCCAGCTAAGTAGACTATGTTCACTTTTTCAAAATAAATCAAGATGCATTATAACACATGAAAAGAGATAAAAATTGCAAAAGGAAGCATTTAGCAAAAGAAAAAAGGCATTTATTGATCTCTTTCCAAGAGTCTGCCCATCTAGCCCTGTTTCTCAGTTTTATGAACACTCACACAATCTTGGCAGAAAGCAAAAGTCATGCTCAAGAGTACCTTGCTGCATACTTCCCAACTTTAATTCAGGTACCACAGACCTTAGATAGAAAGCTCCCAGCTCAGAGCAGAACAATGATTCTGCTCAAACCACTTGTCCTCTCGCCAAGAGTACAGGCCTACTCTACCTCATACACAAAGGATGGGCTGTTTTGCTACAGGTGGTTCTGGTAAATAGGATCAAAATGACTGCTTTATTATCAATCAAACCACATAAAGTTGGGGTCAGGGCAGAGAGAACTGGACACCAGTTCTGGATATGACTGGGTCATTTAGCAGCATGCCTCTAAAATCCTTTCCCAGGCAACCCATCCCACCCACCTTGGTTCATAAACTGCCTGTGCCACATTTGGTCTCTGGTTTCCCCTCACAAATACTGTTTTCCAAGCTTACATCTGTTTATTTCTTCTTTGCTGCTGCCATGTCCCTTAAATATTTTTCTCATGTCTAAAAACTCCAGAAAAAAATCATTAGCTAAAATTAACTAAGCATATCAATGATTTTAAATATGGGCAGTGTTTTTATTCCTTTGTTATAAATCAGGAATCTCAGGTTCAGGTAATTTCAGCAGCCAAAGGTCATACAAGTGAAGGTCAGTGATGAAATATGAATTTGGGGCTCTTATTTGAACCCCCTCTTACTTTCCATTAGACCATGCTGCTGCTAGTAGTGGTGAAGGAAGGACACAAGGCATAACAGTCTATGAGACCAAAGGCAGTCAGAGACAGTATGGAATTGTGTGTGGCACATAGTAGGTACTCGTGCTAAAAACAACATTCAGTTACTCAATGAATATACAATCGATTCCCAGATTCCGTGGGCTTCAAACTCATTCCTACAATCCATAATTTCCTATTTCTCCTCCCTGCTAAGCGGGGCCTGCTGCCATATGGTAACTTTACCACTAACAGTCTAGCTGCTTCTAACTAGGGCCTGCTTTCCCTTGGTTTCAGCACTCAAAGGTCAACTTGACCTTGCAGGGGAAATGAGCAGGGGGCAAGCACCTCTGAGGACACAGCAGACAGCTGCAGTGTGGCTTTGACATTGACAAGAAATGAAAGCATCTCCATTTAGAAAACTTTGTGAAAGATACAGAAAAAGTAAGTCTAAAAATAGCCAACATCTAAAGTTCCCCAAATAATTAATATCATGTCCCCATAACCTAAAGGATTCTCTTGATTTCAGTGGACAAAAAACTCCGCTTTTAAATTTGAGAGACTTTTTTTCTTGCAGGAAACTGGGCAACATATTGTTTGATTGGTAACTTCTTTGAAGCCTGCCTTTGTTAGAAGGAGTTAGCTGTTAGTCTGCTCTTTCCTCGGATCTCAAATAGTTTAGTTTTTTTAAAATATATATATATATATATTTTTAGCACTGCTGATTTAAAGTAGTTATCAAAATGCTATGATTGCAGATCATGCACAGTGCATCCATCTGGGCAATTATCTTTTGGTTCTAATGGTTAGAACGGTGGCAGTCTCTGAGGTGTTAGAGTTCAGGTTCAATTCAAAGCATCAATGATGCTCTTCATACTAAACCAGGATCTGCCTCTGTAAGACAGACTCAATTCCCTTCTCTTCTTTTTTTGCAACAACCACAGCCATTACCCCAGCCTCAAATTCATACCCGTTGGTTCAGAAGCCCTAAGGAAGGGCATTGATTTCAGAGAGGAAGCCCAACATGTGCAGGATTTTTTGTCCTGGATCCAGTGATACCTTTGAGAATCACAAACACTTAATTCTTAGGCATTTTAATTTACTTTTCAAATGGAGCATTTAAACAAAAGTTGTTTATTGGGTTCAAATTCAGAGCCAAGTTGTGTGTCGAGAGAGTCTTAATTTTTCATAACAGGACATGTTTGGCTCTAATGTGTGGGTTATGAGTCAATATATCAAATTTGACTAAAGTATTTGCTCTAAGTAGGGAGCAAGCCATTTAGCATTACGAATCCTGAACTTTTTGCGGGAAGGAGGGAAATGGCTTTGATTTCTAAGCTCTCTTATTAAGATGAATCAAAGTTGATGAATAAACTTTCTGGATTGCTTAATACCTTCCAGATATCAGTATCAAGGCCTTGGCAAAGCAGGTGAAAATATTTCCATGAGCAAGAAGCAATTGAGGACTTCCTCTGTGGGATAAATTCTTGGTAATTCCTGTAGGAAACTTTCCTTTATCCTGTCTTTTTTTTTGCCTTGCCCGATTCTCAATGTTTTTAAATACACAAAATATGGCTTTCTACTAAAAACTGGTAAATGAAGTTGGAAAAATACACACACACACACACACACACACACACGGTAGCCCCTTTATTGCAGCCATGCACAGAGCTTCGCTGAAGAGTTGACAAGATATATAGTGCAACCACAGAGAGACACCACATTTTCCTTCCTCCTAGCACAACTTGTACAGTGATTAAATGTGATTAAGGTCTCAGGAACGTGGACACAGTCATATCTATTTTGGTACCACAGTCTTGATCCATCCCTACAGCCAGAAGGGAATCACCCTCTTTGTGTAAATGTTTGCTTTGTTGGAAATTCTCAAGCAGAAATTAATAGTATACATGCTTCGGGAGGAGTATTAAATCAAGCATGATAAACAACTCCTAGGCAGTGTTTAGACTGGCCAAAAGTCATCTTAAGAATTGTGCACAATGATAGAATAGCACGTTTGGCATCTATACACTAGAACTATATATAAACAAAAAGCAAAATGGAGATCTGTCAATTAACCAATTAGTCTGATTAATGGGATCTGTCAGCCTATGTGGATAGTAAGTGACTAGAAAAGTACCAAGTCTCCACTCATTCTATGTGGTGTAGAAACAGCTAATGAATCATGAATGTTTAGTGCTCTTTATAGCAGTTACCGAACATACTTGGAACTTGTCTGGAAATTAGTTTTGATCTGTTTGAAGTCATATGCCAATATTCTAGACCCCTATGACATCAACTATCATAGACTCCTAGTTATCAAAGAGCTGAAACTAATCAGATAGAATTGGCATGAAAAGAAGTTTCAACAGAAAACAATTCATGTTCAAGGAACCCGAGTCTATGATTTCAGGAGTTCAAAGTTTCAAATATTTTTATAAATACATACATACACAAACATACAAACATACACGTGGAGAGAGAAAGTGAAAAGCAAGAAGACCTTTTCTTCCTTAGTCCAAATCCAATTTAATAATTATCCAGGGTATTCTCAGTAAAAACCAGGTATTTATGCCTCTATATGTATGTCACCAAAATGGAGCCAGCTTACCTGAAGGTCCTCTGAGGCTATCACTTTCCTCTAGTGCTGTCCCATAAACCTGAAGGATATACAATAACAAAGGGGCCAATTCCATGGGACAAAAATCTTATTTAAAATAACTTCTCCATACTGACTTCAAGCCAAATGAAAAAAACAATAGCTTTTTTGGAATTTTATTCCATTTCTGTTGTCTGATGCATAAGTGTTGTTAAATATTTACCAGGAACCTGCCAACAGTTTCTCAACATTTGTTAATCACAGGTAATGCTATTCCATTAACAACTCAATAAACTTTTTAAAAGTTGTACAAGGTAAATTTCACTACCTCAACACTGCTAACCCATCCTTGTAGAATAAATATTTGCTTTGAGTTTCTCTATGCCAAGATTTATGGTATCAAGTAATCTAAATCTCCTTTTGTAAATAAGGTGTGCCCTCAAGAGGATGAGAGTGCAGATTCTACAGTCTTGTCTGCCTTCTCTCCACAGGTCCTTGAATAAAGGTTTCCATGTCTCCAGATAAACAGACGTGGGGCAGTTCTGACCAGGATCCCAGCAGTAGAGGCTTTGGGAAATATTTTCAAGATGGTTCAAGCCTCCCTTCCACAGATTCTCTCATATCTGCCAACCTAAAGTGGGCTGTGTTGGTTCATGTCTACCAGGGCACTAAATGACTGAAGGCCATTTTTTCTACTCTAATTATTGTTGCTTCTTTATAACAATTTTTATGAAAGTCCAGCCTAATTTCTTTCCCAGGACACGTGTATCTTCAGACTACACATCTAAATCCAGACTTTCATGATTAATCCTACTCTGAGTCAGCTGGGATCGAGCTCTGATGATGGGTTATCCTACATGGTCATTAACTGCTGTTCGCACAAACACATCACTCAGTGAGACTTCCAGTGGATATACCTTGTATGCAGAATAGAAAGCTGTTTGTATGGAGTGACTTCTCTGTTCCCTGACCAACCACCCACAAAAATAACCTTTCCCACTCACTGATACTGAATTCTCCCAAAGACAGGCCATCCAACCAACAACTCTCATAGTAAAGCACATGGCAAAAATTATAACTGTGTTATTATTATTAAAGTCTACTCTTACAGAATACTCAAGGAAATTAAAAAATGACAAAGTCTCATTTATGTATAAATGATTTATGTCAGGTTCTTCTTGAGAATATATTCTGTTTGAGGGAAGAGGAAGGAAGAGAGGATAAATTATGTTTACTGGAGAACTATCTATCCCAGACTTTGTACTAGGTGCTTTATGAAAATTATCTCTTTAATTTCTGTAACCACGATAAGCAAAGATAACCCTGTCTTTGCTTCAGAGATGAACGTGCCCAGTCTCAGAGGAGTTAAGCAATTTTTTCCAAGTCCTGTAGCTGGTAAATAATCAGTTTAAGATTCAAATAAGTCATTTTATCAAAGCAACATTGCTTGAGGCAAGAAAAAAAGAGTATGATACGCAATTTTTAAAAGCACATACGCCCACACATTTCCTAAAAGGAAAAAAAAATATTGGTGTGTATGATAAAAATTAGGCTTCAGCTCCTTGAAAAAGAATTGTTTGAGCCCCTATAAATCTTTCCCCAGTTAGTGTTCAAATAAATATTCCTATAAAGATATCTTCAGGGTGAGAAAAGCCATAAACAAACTCCGTTGTCATTTCCAGCATTTAAATCAGGACTAATCACATGGAGCCAGTGTTAGCCCAATCCCCCTCACCTAGTTCCCCTCACTCTTTGCCAATAAGCAGTTTTTAATCTATTTCAGGAAGGAGTCCGAGGTGCTTTGGAAATAAAAATTAACCTGAAAGTACTTCCTAAGGCATTACCAGAAATCATGTTTTAGATTTCAAGATGACTTGCATTGTTCTAAACTTCCAGGCTGTGCCAATGGCCACAAAGGTAAATGGGGCATTGGGACAACCATGTGAAGGACTAAGTTGCAACATGAAGCAAATACACTCTTCCGCATGAGTCACCTGAAAATAAAAAGAGAATAATAGCTGGAAAAGATGATGCTGTCTGACAACAGCATTTCAAATAAGACACAAAGAACTTGTCTGCATTTGCTTTCAGGTCATGAAATACCACATGAACTGAATGTTTGAGAACCCACTGGCTATGGATCACCCTGATTCACCAACCCAATTCATCATATTCTCAGGTCTGTGGCATAATCAGTGTTTCCCAACCTACACCGCATAATAAAATCGCCTGAGGAAATTTTTGGCTTTTTGAGGGTTTTCATTTAAAAAGAAAAAAAAAAATCAATGCCTGGACCCCAATACCAAAATTTTGGATTCACTGGTATAGGGTAGAGGCCAGGCATTAGTATTTTTTAAAAAGCTTTCCAGGTAATTCTAACATGAGTCATGGTTGAGCGCCACTGTTAGTTGTATGAATTGGATTTAGAAATCTTATCCCTTAAACCCTTAGGGTTGCCAGAGCTGTCATCATGGCTATGAACCCTGCAAGAATTTGGGTAAGTTACTGGTCCCTGAGATTCTGTTTCCAAATCTCCAAAGTGAAACTCAGAACACCTTTTAGGCACATGCTTTATCATGGAGGCCTGATGATCATGGTTTCAAAATAAATGTCTGTGAACCTAGATACTTTATTTTCCTTCAATCATTTTTGAATCATATGTCTTTAGAATGAACACTGAATGTAAATTGTATGTGAAAATATATTCTACATGTAACAGCATTATTTCTTTTGGCTATGTAACTTAGATTATGTCTTCAGGATGCCAAAACAATTGGCTCAAAGGTAGGAAAATATTGTCATCTAATATTTGCTGTGTCTCTATATTCCTAAGTTAGAAAAACAGCAGGTTTTGATTTTATGTTTATTCATTTTATTTGGTTAAGAAAAAGACCAGCTACCCCACATTTAGAGGCTCATACTTCATATCAAGACTCAAGTTGCAAGTCTTGGAAACAAAATAAAACCCCAAACTTAGTACTTTAGACTTTTTATACTTCCTACCCTGTGTTACTGAGAAATTCATAGTTGTGAGAATGAAGACTTTAACTTGCATATGTACGTATACATGCAAGTATGCTAGCACGATTCCAGAAACAAAATGTTTACTATATATTGATTGTTTTTAAATATGAACTTCAGCATCTTGATTGAATGATGAAACCTGGACATATGAATCAAACTTTGGTATCTGTTTACTATCAAATGCTATAGAATCAAGAAAGTGAGAGCAACATTATTTCCTGTGCAACACACTATACACCTTAAATTTGGTAATGTCTTTTGCTTTCATGGAAGTTTTATGATAATTTCTCTTTACAAATTTTGAGGGGTGGTTTATAATTCTTCTGTATTCTGTATTTGTAATCAAATACTTGACAAATCAGTTGAATTTTCCCCCACAAACATAAAAGACACAGAATCAATAAATAAAAATACTAAGATACTTCACAGAGCATCTTTTGACATTTGTAAAGAATTTTAGAGTACAAAGTAATTCTCTTTTAGTGAATGCATGGATTAGACTATTATATAGAAGAGCACTACTTAGATCATAGTAGAGAAGGATATATCTATGACCCTGAGACTGATGCTGCTAGTTGTTGCCAATATTTACCCTCATACTTCATTCCTTGGGGTAGCAATGTGCCCTGGCACAGGTGATAGATTATGATTAGACTGAGCCAGTCATAATTTTGTTCCTTTATTTCCCAGTCTCCCTTGCAGCTAGGTATAGTCACGTGGTCCAGTCCTGGCTATGAGAAGTACAGGGAAGTCTCCTGGTAGGCTTCTGTCATTTTGCTTTCCTGACAAAAGGAGATAGGCACAAGAGGTGCAGCCCCTTCCCTCCAGCTTCCTGCTTAATTAGGCATCCTGTAATTAACTGAAGTTTCAGAAGCTATCTTGTGACCATAGGCAGCAATCCTAAGGACAAAAGACAACAAAACAAGGACAGTTGGACTAAAAGATAAAAAGATCCTGGATCTTTGATGGAAGCATCAGGGAGCTAAATCAATGCCAGCAAACACCTACTCTAGACTTTCTATTATATGAGAAAAATAAACTACATAGGAGAAAATCATAATCCCCACGTCTGAAAGAAATTTTAAAGCATATGTTTTCTGAAAAATCACCACTAAAGAACTTTCTCATGTAACCAAATACAACCTGTGCCCCAATAACTTATGGAAATATAAAATAAATGAATTTCATATGGGATCAAAGAAGACCCTGTAGAGCCAAGACAATCCTAAGCAAAAAGAATAAAGCTAGAAGCATCACACTACCTGACTTCAAACTATACGACAAGGCTACAGTAACCAAAGCAGCATTGTACTGGTACCAAAACAGGCCTATAGACCAATGAAACTGAACAGACTCCAGAAATAACACCTTTACAACTATCTGATCTCCGACAAACCTGACAAAAACAAGCAATGGGGAAAGGCTCTTCTACTCAATAAATGGTGCTGGGAAAACTGGCTAGCCACATGCAGAAAACAGAAACTGGACCATTTCCTTAGACCTTATGCAAAAATTAACTCAAGATGGTTTAAAGACTTAAGTATAAAACCCCAAACCATAAAAACCCTAGAAGAAAACTTAGTCAATACTATTCAGGACATAGGCATGGGGAAAGACTTCATGACTAAAATAGTAAAAGCAATTGTAAAGAAAGCTAAAATTGACAAATGGGATCTAATTAAACGAAAGAGCTTCTGCACAGCAAAAGAAACTATCATCAGAGTGAACAGGAAACCTACAAAATAGGAGAAAATGTTTGCCATCTACTCATTAGACAAAAATCCAGAATTTACAAGGAACTTAAACAAATTTACAAGAAAAAAGCAAACAACCCCATCAAAAGGTGGGCAAAGGATGTGAAGACACTTCTCAAAAGATGACATTTATGTGGCCAACAAACACGAAAAAATGCTCAACACCACCAATCATTAGAGAAATGCAAATCAAAAACCACAATGAGATACCATCTCATGCCAGTCGCATGGTGATAATTCAAAAGTCAAGAAACAACAGATGCTGGCAAGATTGTGGAGAAATAGGAACGCTTTTACACTGTTGGTGGGAAGGTAAATTGGTTCAACCATTGTGAAAGACATTATGGCAATTC